GAGACAAAACTTCTCTATATTTGTTAAATTTCAGAGCATTCGTGCAGCCGATTAGCCTCGTTCACTGTCGCAAAAACCTCGCAATTAACGGTGAACGGGATTTGGGTCCGTTGAAACATAAAAAGTACACATGAAAGTGCACAACGAGCCTTTACATAACCCGCTAACTAAGCCGCTGCACTCAGCATAGTCACGGAGTAGGTGCAAATAAGGGGATGTGTTTCGATCCTTCGAGATTTTAAACTGAAAATGTGAGTATATTTTTGAAAATAATACGCTTGATTACAATAATCAAAGCAACCAGTACTGGAACTTTGTAGAGATGCAAGAGTTTACTTGACCCTCATTGCTCATGTAAGTATTGGGGCTGAACACGGACCACAACGCTGAGAGTCTCAGCATTTTGCTTAATTGCCTTTCAAGTGCTAGCTTTAGTACATTTAGAACTTAAAATTTGGGTACCAGTGATAGTGATATTCTGAGTCACCACTTGAAAATGCCGACTTCTTTGTCAAAGACACTGTTGCTGGGAAAGTGAATTCGCCCCAGGGATTCCCTATCCAAAATAGTGTTCATTCGAGATGCCACAAAGCCCACACCCCGCAACTGTGGAGTTTCTAGCACATAGTAATTTTGCTGGAACCTACGAAATGTCGTCCTAATGAATGCGGACTGCGTGTTTTTTTATATGCAAAAATGAGGTAGGTGCGGTATGAGCCTTAACCCTTGCAGCTCGGAGCAAGTGAAACCGCTTGTCCAGAACCGTGGACATTGCCAAAAGTTCTTGATCGCATATCGAATATTTCTGCTGGGGAATTCATGACTTGGCTGAGGCAACCGATGGGCTTGCTGTCATGTTCCAGGACCGCTTCGATTGCATAGCCGGACGCGTTCGTGTATAACTCGCAAGCCTTTGTTATTTCAGGGACATGTGAGGAAGTTAAATCGATTTAGCTCTGTTTGAGCTGCAGTGCCGCTTTCGTTTTAAGCTCTGTTCAGTTGAAGCCAGCTTTTTTACGCGTAAGTTCAACCAGTGGACGGGCGACGTCCGCACAGTGAGATCCCATGAGCATGCAGCAATAATGAATAGTGCTGAGGAACTGGAGCACATGCGTCTCGTTCTCCAGCACTTCCGGCCAATGCCGGATGGCTTCAATCTTGTCTTCAGCGAGTTTGAAGCTTCCAGCACTGATGGTATAACCCAAATATGTGATTGCTTGCTTTGCAAACTTGCATTTGAGTCGGTGAGATTGATGTTTGAGGAAAATACTTGGTGTAGTGCGCAGCGCCTACTGCTGCGACTACGCTGCTAGCTGCCCCCTCGAGCAGGGGTCTATGATCAGGACCTAACGTTGACCCACTTCCTTGAAACATTAGCCCATATATAACGAAATACGGTTATTTTTACCTTTCCAAAATCTGTTATCTTAAAATCCGCCCCACTCGCGGTTCTCGCCTCCTAGGCCCTGTGGGGAGGAGGCCTGCACTGGTGCCGGCGCTATCGCCAGCCCCAGTCTCCACGCATTTTCAGGCACCTCTAGTGTACGCATGTTAATTCGCAGACAAACTGCCTTACTTGGATCCTACTAAGAGGGTCCTGTCCTCCTCCAGTGTTATGACCCCTTGTAGGTCGCCAGCTAGCTATCTTCTATAGGTTACCAGCAAGCCCTATTGTAGTGCCTGTACACTACACTTGGGGCTTTTCACATGAGAGAAACGGGCCCAGGGACGTCGGGACTATAGATAAGAACGTCACCTAGGTACACTATGACTCCCTGTTGTAATGACGTTTGTAGATAGGCATTAATGTTGTCCTGGAACGTGACTAGTACACCCCTGAGGCTAAAGCGCATAACTTGATACTCGAATAAGCCCAGAACGGAACGGAAGGTCGTCTTTCAGTGATCTTCCTTATCCATACGTATCTGATAGAATCCTGCTTAAATGCCCAGAGTAGAAAAATACTTTGCGCCCCCCGGAACTTTTGAATTATTGGAATAGGAGGTAGGGACTGTCGTAAGGGCTGGTAATTGACAACCATACGCATCTTGCGCTCCCTCCAATCATCCTCGCGCTTGTCCACCATAATCATAGGGGAGCAGATACGTTGGTCCTATCCATCCATTGTCCCACAGTTTAGCTATCTCCTCCTTGTGGAATTTATGCTGATCTGGTGTCATACAGTATATGGCGAACTTCGCCGGAAGTTTCCCAGGTACAAGTAGGATATGATGATCATGAAGGCGCTTCGGAAGTAATCCTTTAGGCAAGTTGCCGAGGAAGACCGCCCGATACTCCGGCAGCGCCTTGACAATCTCAAAGGGAATATCCTGTGGCACTGCCGACTTTATCCATTCGTCTAGCAGTATGTGCTCTAGTTTTACCGTAGGCCAGGGAGATTCCTCCTCATCATCCGCTGCCGTCGAGGCGGCGGGTGCCAGATGAATGCCCCAGCAGGAGGGTGTGGGTCGACTTCCGATCAACGCGCAGCCTAGCAAGCCTTGCCCTCCGTCCGAGAAACTCAGCGCCACCGACGAACCAGTCTCAGGCAAAGCCAGTATGAGATGCAAACCGTGCAATGGTGCCCTGAGAAACTCTGTGAAAGCATTCGACTGAAGCAGGAGCGACACCATACCTTCGCCTTTGTCTTCGCATAGGGTTTATATCTTTTGAGTAGCGGTAACACAAAGCTCCCTCTCGGTTGTAAGTCTCCTTAGCACAAGTCGCCCGCCACCCCTGCGGCGCAGTCTCTGCTTCTTCTTGCCTCTACCCTTCCTCTGTTACCTATGTAGGCTTCCCACTGCTGTCCGCCTTCTCGTATGGAGTCTCTTCGCTCTAAATCGGTGCAGGCCCGAACTCCCACCGTGTTTCCGATTGCAGCTGAGTCCTTCGCGCGTCCTCATCTCCTGTATTAGCTGTATCCTCCGCGTTGAGGAGTTTGTTTCGTCACTCGAAGAAGACTAGAATGCTTTAGGGCCAGTCGCCGTACATATCATCCCTTTGCCATGGCTCTTTGGCCTAGAACGTTCGTCTCCAGGTACGCCTACGCCGTGTTGTTTGAGCGTTCAGTCCTCTCAGCGCTGGGACGGGTGGGCTGTCTACTGCTCTTCTTCTTTGGCTCACTCCTGCCTCGGTAGTATGTAGGACAGCCTCGAGCATAGTGTCCCACACCTCCACACTTCTTACAGTTCTCCCCCGGACGCTTGATACGTTCTCCCTTGCGGGGACGAATACGTACCGGGTGTCCTCAACCCTGACACTCATAGCAGTTCCCGGGTTTTCCTGCAGATCGATTTTCGTTCACCTGGTTCCTACGGCGTCCAGACGTCTCCTGTTGAGTTGGGCCGCTAACGCCTCCGTTGTGCAGATGCACCCCTTGCCGAGCTAGGCTGTCTGGCGGTGAATCATTACGGCAAATATTGCAGGCTTTACTACTCCTCGGTCCGAAAAAAAGCTTACCATTCCGGAGCAATTCCCAAATGCAGTGCACAGCGTTCTCTGGTGCTACTACATTACTACCTGGCCCACGAATAGGGCACCCTCCTAACAAATCCTCTGGATTCGACTCATACCTCACAACACAATACCAACTAATCAATAAATCATCATCTTTCGAGTCTGTTAATCGAACTTTCTTTAAAAGCCCCCCAATCATAACTCTCTGTAAACGATGGCAGTTGCACGCGAAGCCTGGAGAACCGCTGGTCAGTTGACGCGGTTGGGGCGGTGCCCCGCACCGGTGCCGGTGTCACCGCCAGCCCCAGTCTTACGGTATTCATAGGCACTTCTAGTTACACATGCTAAATTGCTGATAAATTGACTTACTTCGTTACTAATAAGAAGTTTCTGCGCTCGTTCTGCGTGCTGACCTCTTATAGGTCACCAACTAGCTACCCTGCCAGGCTAGCTGAGAGCCCTATTGTAGTGCCTGCGCACTACACAACTCCTTAAGCACAGGCCATGCTTCTGCAAAACGGAAACATCAAGGGTGCAGACAGTGAAGGAGTACCGAAGGTCCCCATAAAATACTTATTACTGCCCCGAAAACAATACCCGAAAACAATAGCCGCAAAATATTGGGCACGAACTGACTAAAATGATTAACTGGAATAATTGTGACGAATGGTTCACTAGATTCGCCACTTTGGTGAATTTCGATGCATGTAAACGATGGCAGTTGCACGCGAAGCCTAGAGAACCACTGGTCAGCAGACGTTTCGATTTTACTATGTGCCTTCGTCGCATAGACAGCTAAGCGTGTAGAAGCTTTTGGGTGTTTAGCCAAAATCTGTTTGTGGCCAGTGAGTGCATTTTGAGATCTGCAACGGCAAGTTTCGGCTGTCGTGGAGGAGCAGGCTTGGATGCAAAAGTGTGAGTGTTTTTCGTGTTATAAGTTTTGCAGCATGTATGTAGACATTGTCCCGCTGCTACCTGTGCCTTCTTGTTACAAAATCTGAATGCTTTCGTGTGAGGCTACGAGAGTTGTTGGCTGCCTAGGAGCCCAGGCAGACCTGCTTGAGTTTGAAGCAGCAGAGCAGCCTGACAACCCACGCTAGGCAAAGCGGTCCTTTGAAATACAACTGTTAAGAGTGCAATGGACCACCTTACTAGGGTTATGAGGTAAATAATGAGAGTGAGTGTCGGCCAGCACTCTCCATAGGAGCTGCCAGCAAGCGATGCTGAGGCGCCTAATGACGTAGCGGTTCGTGAGGCGACCTCTGCCGCCGCGTCAGAAGTACGCTCAAGCAGAAAAAAAGAAGAAATGTCTTCTTTTTTTCTGCCTGAGCGTACTTCTGACGCAGGGGCAGAGGGCGCCTCACGAACCACTGCGTCATTAGGTGCCTCAGCATCGCTTGCTGGCAGCTCCTTATATAGATATGGGCGATACAATAATTAAGTCCTTGGCTTTTCTAACGCTTTTTCTTACGCAAAAATGCTACTCATTTTTATGACAGAGCTTGGTAAGTATACTGGCACATGTATCACATGCATATTCAACTTTAAGAGTCGCCAACAAGATCTTGAATAGATTTTCCTTCGGTTTTAAGTGCCTGTTCTATTATTTGCAAGACTCTGGTACTCTCTGCCAATTCCTTCCGGAGGGCAGTTTCGTTGGTCGCCTTCCCCGTATGCTCCTTCTTTATCTTCGTTTTCTGCTTTTTCTCGACCATTTTCCCGCTAACCTCGAAAACGAGTGCACCATTCAATTTTTGTATGGTGGAATCATCTACTGAGAGAATGAAGCTCTGAACACACAAATTAAAGGGTAATGTTGGCAGTGCCTATTAAAGGAACGGCTTTGCTTTTGCATAGTGAAATCATCTACTGAAAGGATAAAGCGCTAAACGCACAAAGTAAGTGACAACGTTGTTATATCTATTCAAGGAACGGCCACACAAAGTAAAGGACAATATTGGTAATATCTATTCACAGAGTGGCTTTGTTTCTGCGCATTGTACTGCAGTACAAGGGCAGAAACACGTCAGCAAAACGATTCATGCAAAGTTTGAGAAGGTTTACTCTCGCAATGAGTCTACTGGAATCAAAGTACGGTGACAAACCTTTGAATTATTGAACACGGGACTGCACGAAGCTTGCTCCATTGAAGTTACTAAGACATCGGTTTCGCCGTCAAGCCAACGGTACAAAACCTGCATAACAAAAGGTTATACTTTGCACATATCTGACGGCTCTGAAGCACTGTCATACTTTATTTTGTTTAGCGTGCATGGAGACATCCTGCGTACCTGTGGCTGCCTGGAAAACTTCTCTGGCAACTCACTCGCGGAGTGAACCGTTATCGTAAGGACCATCTCACGGCCTTTAATGTCCTCTACTGAGTACAGCGCATCTATATCTACTTCTTGATTATCGCTTTCTTGGCTGGCAGGCCTTAGAATGGCAAAAACAAGCGGAAACTCCTCCAGGCCGTTCTTTTTTTTAATTTGCTCTTCTGTTTTCCGTATATGTGGGCGCTATTAGTGAAGAGTGATAAAACATCATAACGCATTCGCCTCTTCAGCTTCGTTATGTGTGTGTAAAAGTTCCTCGTGCAACTGACGAGTTTCATCACTCCTCTGTTCACCTACCCGGTCTGGTCATTTTGGCTTGCAGAAACTTCAATGCCAACTGAAAGCGTGAGCTTCCCACAGGACTTCCCGTTAGCATCAATAATTGGAAATATCTCAGCCTTTACAGGCAGTAAGCACCGGATTGTATCCAAGTACAAATAGCTCTCACCAATGACCTGTCTCGCATGTTGCTCAGGGCGATAGCTCTAGTCATGGGAAAAAATTCAACAAATGTACCCAGAGCCTTTTGCAAGTATATATCTGAGCTCTTTGCAAGTTGACCCGGCACATAAAGTGCCTTGCTCACCTGGTAACTTTCCATATCTAATGCAAATGGATCTGGTACGCCTCCTTTTAGGTACGACTCTGTCTTGGGTCCAGCTGTCCACTGCGTATATAGTTCCCTCATTTCGAATATCTTTTTTTCAAACAAATCCAGCCTCCAGATCTGGACGGCATCTGAGTCTGCTCTTTGAACCCTAATCACGATCTCTGTCTGCTGCAAGGATGTGCCAATAAGCGTGCTCCTGACACCGCCAGCACCTCTTGACCGAGTGCTCAGCTTAAGGGAGAAGTAGACGCCCACTCCGAGCTCCTGCGCATACCCATTTGCTTCATCCACTAGCAGCGCTGTTCTGCTCATAACTTCTTGAAGAAAAATGTGAGCTGCTCTCTCGGCATCCTGCCTTTTCTTCTCTTCCTCTCTTTCCTTTTCCAAAAGCATGCGTCTCGCTTTCAATTCGTCTTCTTTTCTGTTGAGTTCCTGCTGCACAGCTCGTTTTTCGGCTTCAATTAGCTTTAGTTTCTTTTCTGCTGCCGCTTGGTCTTCTTCACTAGCAAGCACAAGAGCCTCTTTATCCTTAAGTTTCCGCATGAGCTCCCTTTTTTCAGACTCAAAAAGCTGAAGGTCTGCCTGCAAACGTTCCCACTTCTCCTTGTCTGCGGTCTTGGCTGGCCTAGCATCAGGAGCTTGTTGGCTCGAGAATTCGTCAATAACATCTTTTGTTGCTTCCATCATACCTTCTTCCCATGTAGGCAGCTCCTTGTCCATATCGGTCGGATCAACGAAGACGTACATATTATTATGGCCAAAAATTATCCTGTCTTTGTGAGTCAACAGTTTCAATTCCGTCTCTCCAAGGACCACTCCGTTGACAGACGTCTTCCCATATGCAGTCAGCTTCACTTCATAGGTTTCATCCCCTGTATCCTTTCCACTCTGCCGAATTCGTTTCACATCGATAATAGCATGCTGGGAAGCTACGCCGAGGCCTCCAATGCGGAACGTAGGCTCAACTTCCCCTCCAGGCTTTCCAATAGTGACTTGCCCTTCGTTCAGAGCGAAGACAATTTTTCCACACAGGAATGGGTCTTCATTGAGGTTGCTGAGGTGAGGCACTGTGAGTTGTCCACTGCCTCTGATTTCAACGCTGGTCTCCCTTTTTCTCGCGGCTTCAAGCTTGTCTTTCCACGATGTTGTCATATCCTGCAAAGCTTTCCTGTTTGCCTCAAGCTCTTCTTCGTACTGCCTTCTAATTTCTTCTACCATTTGAGGAACAGGCGCTGAGCTGGGCACACTGTCTGGTAGCCCTCCACCCATTGCCTGCAGCAGCAAGGAGTAGCAGGCCTTATCCACAGAGCATCACAAGGGCCAGGTTTGATGCTTTCTAAGGAACGCAAGATGCATAGTTTCCCTAGAGTGGAGTGTCGTCAGCCTACTTTTTTCAGCCTTTCGTTTTCCTCTCGAAGCTCCCGAATAAGCTTCTCCAGATGATTCTCATTAACTGTTGCCTCGTTTTTTATTTGCTTCACTCTGTCTGAGATCGTACGATAGCATAGACTCTATTAAGGGATGAGCATTTAGCGATTCCGAATACGCGCCAAATCTGCCTGCATTGTGAAACCAACGCCAAGCACCCTGCGTTGTCTTATTGTCATTATTATATTGACAGAATATTACCTGCATAGCGGAGAGTGCTGAGAGTTTCTTCATAATTAACTGTTGCTGGCGATAGTGCAGCTATCATGCAAGTCTTGCTGTTCCCTCCAAGGGCCGTCTGCAGGATGCGTGTAAGAGCAGAGTCCCTGTACGGCACAACCTGCACTCCGCAAAACGTATCTAGAGGGACACTCGAAACAACCTAGGATCCTCATGATTTCAAATTTCGTCGTCGCTCACGAAACACCATTTCAACTTTTGCATTTTGGCGCTCCGTTACATGATCATTTGATACTGCCTTTAACTTGGTGTTTTGGCTGCAGCTCAGATACATTTGCTAAGGACCTTGAATGATAAGTTTACTAAATTTTTAATCGGTACGATGAGGGACAGCTCGACATGTTGGCGTGATAATTACATGTTTAGGAGTTGCTGGAAGCAAGCGAACATTCGTCATACCTTTCTTACCCTAGCCTGCTGAAAAGATGTGACAGTCTCTACACTACACGCGTGTTCTCTGATCTTAGTGATATCCGGCTTCATTTTTGTTTTGTACTTCACTATTTTTTTTCGTGAGTGCCTTATTAAGCACACTTCGCACCTGTCCGGGCTTGAGCTTGCCAGCAGCCTTATCTGCGAGAGCAGATATGACATTTCCTAGCGCGCTAAGGCTTTGGTTGATAGCGCAACCCTCCTTCAAACGATCTCCTGTCGCCCCCGTAGATCCAGCTCTTTCACTTCCAGCAAGGTCTACTAAGCTGATCTCTGAAGATTTTTGCGAGACAGGCTCTCCAGTCTCAGCTGTGCATTACGGAAATCACACAACTGACTCATTTGGGCCATAGCTGCACTCATCACAAAGGCAGTGTGGCTTTTGTTCATGAGAAACCCCTCCCATACAGTGTTCGTTGCATTCAAAAATGCTTGTTCGTTCGTGTGAAACAGCCCTTGGGAAAGTTTTCATGAAGCCTTTGACATTCTTATGAACGTCGATGGCGATTCAAGCAATTCCAGCCATACAGTCTAGCTAAAAGGTTACTCAGAACCGCTATCTTAACTTGCATATGGCGCTGTCTGTTGCAGCATGGACGAGGCAACTCTACCGAGCACTGATGAACATACCGTCTATGGTAATTTGACGGAAGTTTATTTGCAGAACGGTGTGCGCCCGTGAAGAAGTGGCATTCATAAGCGTTGCTCCGACTGTTCGGTTGGCTGTTCCTGAAATTTAAACCTTCATTGTGTTTCACTTTAGTCAGCCAAGCACGTAAACTAGGCTGTGCGACCAGGAATGGAAACATGCATTCTCGTTTGCGCAGAAGCCCGCCCCGCCAAAATTTGTATCACTGAATTTTTTCATCGCTTTGAAAGAGATAGACTCGGGTAAATTTATTTCATGTTTCTTAGAAATACTGATGCCTATTCCTTGCCTCCAAGTTACGACTGTACTGATTCCGAGGTAGTTGCAGCTGCGAAAATACATCGATTTATTAACAATTTCCCTATGCAAAACACGAAGTAATCTCACCTTCGTCAAGTTTCGCTTGTATGGCTGCGTATGAATCAACAGCGCACTTCGAAAGCTCTTGCACAAAGGTTCCTAGCTGGGGAGTATGTCTGATCTTGAGGCCTCCTTTTGGCCGTTTCTCTATCGGCATCAGCAGATCCTGAACTTGTTCGTTATATATTTCTAGCATGCTAATTTGCACTTCCGCACGTAGATCAGGGTCTCTATTTGCCCCAATACGCATGAATATTTCCTCGCACGCGCGGACTATGATACCCTTGTTGGCACCGTATCCCACCATGGAATAGCTCTTACCAGCTCCAGTCTGCCCATAAGCGAAGAGGCATGCGTTGTAGCCTTCATAAGCATTGTTCAGTACATCCTTTCCAATTTCATTATACAGACGTTGCTGATCTGCGTACTTTGGGCTTATGGGTCGCGAGTATCCTGTTTCGTCATTTTCAAAGCCATCGTGAGACCAGTACGAAAAGTCGAAGGTAAATGTTTTTTTTCCACTCTTGGGTTCCTCTTCATTTTCAATTGTTGTGGCTTTCCCTTCCATGCTAATGCATAGCTGTGCATTCATGTTCCTCTCACGGTCATTGAAGGGACGCACGCGAACGGCTACCTTCACCGATGACATCCTTTACGAACCATTACTTGTATTTTCTAGTTCTCAAAAGGTATTTGAGCTTCTGTGAGTGAAACGGCTGTGTGGCAGCTAGCGGCAAGCACAGCCAATGCACTTTTACCTGAGGGTGCTGAGTGTTTCTGGATAGTGTCTAATAATAGTCAGATACATATATGGTCGGTAAAAATGTTATTGCTCCCGTTTCATGTCCCATGACGCTTCGTGAGTTGCCTGCCTGCAAGTGACCTGGCACGCCGATGTGCAGGTGGCCTCTCATGTCTTGATAGCGCGTACGGTTATGGTTTTGCGTTTATCCACACGTTGTATACGCTGCAATGTTTTGAATTATTAGAAAGGAGCTGAAAAGGGGAGGCTGAGTTCCGGAGGAAGAGATGGTCTGGAGGAATGGTCACCACCTTACCCCCAGTGAGAGACGGAAGTAAGGAAGCAAAAGCAGCCAGCAAGCACTGGCCAGCTTGCCGTGCACACATGCCTTTATCCTGATTGAATATTTATTCTTAAACGAAGAGATATTCTACGGGCCTGGATTTTAGAGGCAAACAGGCGTGTTATGCCAGCCTTTCTGCTACGCTATTTAGTGTGCGCTTGCAGCAGCGAAGTGTTGAGCCCGAAGTTAAAGGCAAAAGAACCTACATTTGATTGAATTCATTCTATAAGTTTTATATAGAGTTGGTTCTCTGTATGCAGATGCAGAAGAACTGCAGTGCTCGGCAGTAGCGGCATGCTTACCCAAGGTCGGCGTCACTGCATAAATAGATGGTATTACTAAGGAGCCAAACGAGTCCTTCCCAAAGAGAATGGCTGCATAATGAAACTCCAGTTGAAATCACAAGCCATGAGAGTCCCTGCTAAGTCCAAAATATGTCTTGACTGTCTTGCGGGGGTGATGGAACGTACATGTTCTCCAAGTGGCTTTTGTTAGTAATGTGGGTACTTTCATTACCTGCAATACTAAGCATCTCTCTACAAGGGGATACGCTGACGGTACCAAACCATTCGAACGAGGCCGTAGCGGCGGAGGCAGGGGGCCTGCTATTTGCTTCTGGCAAGTAGGTTAGGTCGCTCTCACCTTCCAAATAGTCCTCAGCTGTATTGGTGCCCACCTCTACATCTTCAACTAAGCTAAGTTTGGATAGTCTCCGCTGTTGGCACGCATTTCCCATGCGCCCACGCCCACATGTATGGCTCGGCTTGGGTATTTTAGTCAGATTTCACTCTCTTTTCACCAAAAATCTGTTTATTTGCTTGACTTTTCAAACCAAAGTGATCAAACATTCGCCGAGACTTGTATCTACGAGTATTGAGCTGGGCACAACTCCAAAAACCGCCGGCATTCGCACTTCTGCTGTTGTGCTGTGTGAGACTGCTAGTGCGGGCACGTGAAGACGTCGGTAGGAATAGAAAAGCATGCCAAACTCCCTCACCTCAGCAGCCTCTGCAGGCAAACAGCCCAAACAGCACTCACGGAGCTATTCAGACAGGCGCAACTCACGGTGAATACTGCTTCTCCACAACATACTGCCAAACGATGCTACATTCTCAGAGTGCCAGCATGAGGTACAACCGCTGGAAAATGAAGCACATGAGCCCAAAACTATTAAATATAGCCGTTAATTCCAAAGATGCACCGCTTGCGAGTGCTAGCAGAGCTAGCAAAGAGCGCTAGCTCTGATTCATGGGCAATTGGCTGTCCTTGTGTTCAGTCCATAACACTATGAATTACTTTTCTGTATGACATGAGGAGAATCAGCCATCACTGCGATGAAATCGTTACGCTTTGAGAGCCACCTTCTTGCCTGCTGTCAACTGTCCCCTCCATATCTTTCTGCCTCTTGTAAGTCACCCTCCATTCGGGCCTCAAGAAGCTTCAGCTCGTGTTCCTGTAGCTGCAATTCCTCCTCTCTTTCCTGTAAAGCTTTTTCAACGTACTTTGCGTAGGCTGTCAGTCTCTGTTGTCCAGTGCCCACTTGGGATGTGTAGACCGACGCCTCGTGCCGCAGATGGCCTTCTTGCTGTGCCACCTCGCGAGAAAGCTTGAGCAGTTCAGTGTAAGCCTCATTCTCTAGCTGATGTAATAGTGACACAATGTTACCGCTGCTGAGTTTCAGCTGCGTGGCCATAGCGCGAAATCTGTCAACAAAAAGAACAGCCTCTTGATTTGCAAAAAAACGAATATCTTCTGGCAAAGCAGCGTACTGCGCGTCGGATAAAGCACTAGTTACCACGTCCGGTGGCAATTCCACAACCTTCAGCGGCTTTTCTCGCCTCTTCCTTTCAGCCTCTTCAGATTTCCGCAGCTCAGCAGAGCTGTCTTGCCTCTCGGTGGCTATTCTCTTTCGAAAATCTGTCGCTGCATTTGCTTGCTCTTGCAGATGCTTTAATTGGATTTCCTTTTGCTGCTCTTCCAGAATTTCTTTTCGGACACGAAAATTGCACATAAGCTCCTCAAAAAACAGCTTTGCAGATCTCAGGACTGAGCGATGCTCGATTTTTTGAAGTCTTTCCATCGCCCTAATTTCCGCAGAGCGGTACGCGAGAGAACGCAGAAGAACGGACAAAAATAAGCTAAAACAAATAATGCCCATAAAGAAGAGATAGGGGAAAACAAAAGCTCCGGCCATGAGAGCATCTGACTGGAAGAGCTGCGATAAGGGGAAGAAGCCCGTCGTTAACATTATCGTGGAGATAAACGAATTCTTGACTGTTGAGTAGTTCTCCATGTGACGTCCAAAAGCCAGAAAGCATAAATAAGAGAAGCCCAGAAACAGGAGTACCGTGCCTATCAGGACCTGTATCATCTCTTCTGCCGACGAAGCGAGAGCATAAAACATCATGGTCATGCGCTTGTGTTTGCGCCCAATTCGGAGTAGACGAAGAAATGCAGCAGCCATGATCGCAGCGGCTAGCTGTGCATAGGTGCCCATCAAGGCAGATGCTGAACTGAACGCCTCGAAGAGAACACCAGCTGCTGTAGTTGCCTCCGTTTCCTCTGTGGCACCGGAGGCGGCAGTAGCTGAAGCTGTAACGAGATCATCTGCTAAAGTGAAGACTTCTGAGTGGGGTGAAGAACAGACGTGAAGCACCCACACCAAAATTGCACAAGCCAATACAATGAAGCCAATGATATCAAAGGCATTGAAAAGGTCGTCCACAAAAAAGACTCCTAAACATAAGCCGAAGCTGTAGTCTTCACGTTCCTCCTTCAGTTTTCTCCTCAGCCGGCAAAATTCCACAAAGAAAGAACACCCAAAAAATAGGAAAAGTGCTGCGCTTGCCACTTGCAAGGCCACAGCAGCTACTGTCGCAAAGTCCCACGTGGCGTACGGCTGCAGCTGGAACGCAAAGGGAAAGCCAGCATAAATGTAAGATTTTCTACAGAACTATTCCGGCTGTAAGTTTCAAACAAGATGATACCTGCAAGCTTTGTCTATAAAGTTCAGTATATACTTACCTTCCAGGACTCGACGGACAGGCTGGGTGCAACAGTGCCACCAGAATCTCGACGAAAGCTAAGCAATAGCTCTAAGATCATATTTCCAGAGTTAGGGGACAGTAAGAAAGTGTGAAATGCCAGTTCTGTGCCAACGTCCCTCAAAATATCTTGCTCTCCAAGCCCTTTTAGAAAATCTCTGAAAGTGGTATTTTCGAAGAGAGGCTGGTACACACACTGGAGAGATTCGCAGGTAAAGCCTAGCTGAACAGGATATATTGATTCTGAGCGGGTGTTCAACGTGACGCGTATTGATCGCGTAGTAATTGCTGCATTCCAGTTGCACAGCACGGGCTGCTGATATGTGCCTGCATTCATACATCCCCAAAGCAGTAGAGCATTTGTGAGCACCAAACATACGACTCGAATGAAGGCTGCCCACGGAGCTTCTTAAAGGCTCAAGGATAACATTTAAAGCCCCAAAGGCAGAAGAATAGGCCTACCATCTACCAAAGTGCTCTGGGGAAACGTCTGGTTGAACAATGGGGAACTAGCGTGGCAGCTAAAAAGCGCCATTAGACCCTGGTCAGATTTCAGCCAACTGTAAAGGCTTCTCGGTGAAGTAATGCTAAAAACATGCTGAATGGGGAAACGTATCGAAAAGTTTACATTTGCCAAACCTGCAGAAAAAGCGAAATATATCGACCACGGGGCTGATTGGATGCGACTCCGCTTACAGACTGTCACGAGGCTGCTCCAAGACAAATATTCGGAAAGCTTGCAAAAGCCGATGTAGACAGCGGCACCGATGTGCAAGAAGAGCCGCTATAGTTCAATACGGCAACCATTATTCATTGCGCACCTAGGGCAGTGTCTTCACAAGCGAGCGTGACGGGGTCCAATGAGAACCCTGTCTTCGCAACGGCCCGGCCAGCCATGTCTCTAATGTCAGCCGAAGTATCAATCGACAGCTGAACAAAGTTCATGCGATAGTTCAAAAACCACTAGCTGGTTCCCTCTCAGCGAAGTATAAAAACATACTAATGCTAGTGTCCAGAGATGGGGACGTTTTTGAGGGAGCCACTGGGAAATTGTGCTGGTCTTGCAGGCAGTAGGGGACGGATACTTAATCCTCACTTGCAAGCTGACGGTAGCCACGGTGATGGCAACAAAAGCGACCACAAAGAGCTTTTTCCAAGCGTCTTCGTGATCTTCCCGTGACTGGTTTCGTACAAGAATGTATACCTAAATACAGTTGCGAGCGCACAGCATTACATATATTTGAAGCACTGGATACTGCAGCTGATCCTAAATAACGCGTCAGGTACATGAACAAAATGCGATCTTGACCTTAAGTTTCCACATATGGCTCCTAAAAAAATACCTTGTCTACAGACGGCGCAGGGTTTTCGTCCACAAGCGTCGTTGGAATATCTGGCTGGAAGTAGCAGTCCGAACTCTCCTTCATGCCAGTCATACCAAACCCCCTAAAATAGCCGTATGTTTTGAAATACGAATCTGAAGGCAAAACAGTTGTAGCCTGAGACGCAAAATTTAGTGAAGTATTCACGAATTCGTGTACATAAGGTTGGACGACTGTGAATCGAATAGCCGAAAACTTCCGTAGATTCCTTATGGATGCATGAAGCCTTCACAATCAGATTTGTGCGATTGTAGAAGCGCCTGCTGCTGGGAATTGCTTAAGCTGGATCCTTCTCACCAACGCTGGCTGGATCCACATAGAAGCTCTTTTTCTCTCCGCTTCCCAGAGAGTACATGTTTATAGGATCTTCCATTCCCATCGCCTGCCAAACCCACGAAGGATATTGGGGAGGGGAGTCATCGTCCTCTTCGATGGAGAGATGCTTTTTCTCTGCATGCTGTTCCCGTTCGATAGGATCTTTTCCTTTCTCTCTCCAACGTGAGCGAAATTTCTTGTTGGTCCTTTCCTTTTTAGAGGCTGCTGCCTCTTCAACATCATCTTGGAATCCCTCGTGAGATTCTTCTTCGAGAACAGATATTCGTTGCGGTTTCCAACATCCACGCAGAGCTGTCCAAAATGAACTGCAGCCGGACGCCATTGCATGTCTTAGCCATTCGTAACGTGTTTGGAAAAGATCCTATGTAGCGGCAATGCACATGGAGCAAAGGACAAAAGTACTCGCACTTTGTGGGTGGAATAAAAGGCGTGGCCAGGGCTGTTTCACGCGTGTCCCCACGTGTGCGGCCTGATGCGGGAATGGCAGCAACGTGCTTCACAGATAAATTATTCTTTTTTTCGTTGCTATGCAATCCGTGTCCTAGCACCAGTAAAGCCGAAGCGCCAGGTTACCTGCTTTTCCAACTTGTACTTCAAGACGCCTTGTTGCACAGAATCGGCACATAAATTGTGCTTCCTAAGCACTACCGCAGTCAAAATTGTAAAGCCAAAAGCAGAGAAAACCAGAAATAGGGGGACAAAAAAAATCCCGGCAAGAATGGAATTGACAGAGCTCATTGTGTATACATCGTAGTTCCCAAGGGTACCACCCAGCAAAAAAGCCGCCGATGTTGTTAAGCTGAAAATGACACAATTGACACTTATTGGGACAAAGGTGATCAACTGCATAGCGACGCGACACATCTTGGAACGGCGCACTCTATGGACTACATCTCGGGGAAAACTTTCAAGGGGCACGCGGTGGGAACTTGCCTTTCGTAGTAACCAGCGAAGCTCCGGGTGGCTGCACCAAAAGATATGTTTCCAAGGGAAACAAAGATAAGTACAATGGATAGTAATCCTATACTGCAAGCCAACATGTAGAACTTCACTTTCCGAAGAGTCATCTGAAGGGACTTGGTTCCACTTCCTGCCATAGCAGGGCTCAGCATGGCTATCAGAACACAACCTGTTAATGCTACAAGTGCACCCAAAATAGCGCATACTTGTTGCGTTATTGAGCTTAGGCGAAACAGATGGCCGTAGTCACTGACTAACTGGAAAAACCCCGTTTCGCCTGCTGCACTGGGAGCACTCAAAATATTGTAGTATCCACTCGCTGCTACCGCTAGCTCAAGTTTTGGGGCAAGTAACGCAATAACTTGTACACAGACAAAGGAAGCAAGGAAACCAAGAAGCAACAAAAGGTGGAATATAAGAAAACGTGTCCGGCCCCTTTGGCACCAAGACTTGAAGCCCATCTTCTTCGACTCCCCGTACTCCCATAACAAGGAAAAAATCAAGAGTGCGAGTAGTAAGCCCAGTGAGGTGTAGCGCACCACACCATCAGACTGTGCTGAAAAAGGTATTAAAGATGACACCCAAACCAGCGGCCTGAGAAGTGTTCCTGCGTAGACGGGCAGCGCAGAACCACAAACATCTGCGGTCCATCAAAAGCACAAGCTTGACTGCTCTTGCGCAGATAAGACTCGAACGTACCTGAGCTAGTGAAGGAAAATAAAATGGCGCAGTGGGAGAATGTCGTCGTTGCCGGGTTGATGACGAAGAAGTCAACAACTGTTGATATCGTTCGTCGATCGGCAATCACGGGCAACGGTACAAACCACGGAGGATAACGCGAAGGAGACTGGTTTTGCTGTAAAGCTGTTTGAGCGTCCTGTATCGAATCTGCGGTCAAGTGCAATGCAATGATACAAATCTCTCCTGAGCACCTCATAGGCATAGTTTAATGCTTGCCAGACTGCATAACAAGCTGGCTGACCTCTCAGCTCTGCACGGTGCCTATTACCGGAGATGAATGTGGAAGTACCTTTGCATATGACTTGATAGTGTCCTCCACTTTGATTAAACGATTTATATTCCCCCGGGGAGGCAAACGGGTAAGAGTATGTGAACCGGGAGCCTGGTGGATTCACAAGGGGATTGTCAGACCTTAACTTGGATGCAGCAATTGAGGAAGAAGCCTCTGCAGCAGCAAGGGGCCACCCTCCCTCATAACCCAAGTCGAATCCATTAACACCTTCCAATTCCACCTGACCGGTATAACATGCCCGCACAAAGATAAGAACTTAACAAAGCCTCCCCTTTTGGAAAATAATGAACCATGGTGTCCACCTTCCAAAGTTTGGATATGCTGTTCGAGTGGAGACACTTCTCCCGAGCACTGTGACGTCGGTAGAAACTACACTACAGTAAATTCGTTTTTTAGATTCACCCTGCTGTTCTCTAGTACACCCTTTCCACTCACTTGTCGGAAGGTGAGTCTGAAGCAATTTCCGATGACTCTTGCAGAGCCCAAGTTGCTTGTCTGTGGCGATGGCCCATAAAGAAGGGGAACAAACCCGTAGAGAAGCCACGAAGCCACGCCAGCTTTGCTACTCATCATGAGCATGTCCGCCGGATGTCCTGACTCTGAGAAATCAGCTGGCGTTGGAGTTGTTCCCTCTGCTTTCGCTACCTCATAGCTCAATGAATTGAAGCTCGAGGCAGTGGGTGCAAGGGCAGATTTTATCGGGGATGAAACGCCGTTTGCTGCCTCGAATATTCTGTTGACTTCTAAAGAATACGAAATAAACACTAGTAAAACTGCGAGATAGCACACGGAAATCATGAGCTGGCCGAGTGGTTTCCTCTGCATCAGCAATTGCTGCACTTCTTCGACACTTCTTGCAGACTCTTCAAATCGGATAGGAAATAATCTCCTCCTAAACACTTCCCTCCTCACAAGGGGCGTCTGTTCTTTAAGTACAGCTCCAATACTAATGGTTTTTTGGTCTTTAAGAAAAAGTCGCTGTCTGTGGAACTTCTGATTCGTTTTATATCCCTCATCTTTGAGCGTCTTCTTCTGCTCCACCGCTTCTGCCAGTCCCCCAAGTTGCCGCTGTTGTCTGAGCGCTGAGGGAGTTGCAGTGGCTCCCCTTTCCCATCGTTGTTGCTTTGTCAGTTGGACAAGCATCCTTTCCGAACCGTCTTGAAACTGCACGCGTTCCCGTTCCGTCATTGCGTGATTACGCTCACTTATCCGTAAACCCACTTATAGAGGTACTCTGGACTAAAGTCACTTTGAAGACAGGCTGTTGATGAAGCGTCGATGAAGTACAGTTGAGCCACTGTTACACAACCGCAGCTCTTCCGTTGTCGGTGGTGACCCCATTGCGAACCTTTATACGACGAGTACTAGACACTTTTCAAGCATTTGGCAAATATACTAAAACGCTCAGAAAATGTTAAAATGAGACGGATGATCCTCAGAGCTTCTAATGGATAGCACTTCGCGGTTGCTGAGGCCCTAACTGAATGGTCGGGGCCCCTGCTAGCAGACCACCAAGAACGCACAACCAGGCCAGGCGATATCAGGTGACCCCATTAACAGAATAAATGTCTCAGCCCTTATAAAAAAGTATCATTCAGCAGTCTCATCAAGCTTCGTTGAGGAAGGAACCTC